TGACAAAAGTTGGCAAGGCCTATAGATTAACAGGGTCTAAAAGTTACAAGAACATATGTCTTTTCAATTAAGACTGACCTGGTGGCTACACATTTTTCAGCTATCTCTAAGTTTATAGTGAGCTCAGGATAATAATTTTACCTGTCTTTCATTCTAAGAAAGAAAGTAAATTTAACATGACAGTATATAATGCCATAAGGAGACAAGGTATAAAGAATTACAACAAAACAGTTGGTATTTAATGACATTAAGTTTTGTACTTAATTAGACATTGGTTGGTAGACGCATTATAATTTGGGTTCTTGAGAAGTTCAAACCAACTTGCTTATATTTATGGTGTATACCAGGATTCATAATGAAGGCTTTTCTTGAAGACACAAGTCTGTCTGCTAGTGAAGTCCACGAAGGTATTTATTGCATGCAGCCTTAGGCTTTGGAAAGTTTATTTCAGAAGTTCTAAAACAATTCACCTTTTAAAATTGTTTGAATCATAATCAGGAATTAATTCACTTAAACAGCAGTACACCTTCATTAAGATCCCATAGGACATTTGTTCAATTAGCATGTGTAAATACCCAGAAAGTGACGATTCACACCACACCAGAGTATAGAGAGATGCAGCAGGGCAATCTGGAAGCAATTCTGTTACAGACCTTACAAAATACTGGATCCCCTTCCAGAAGGCCCACCTACCTAAAGAGTCCTTTAACAGAATGGCTCCTGACAGGGTCAGATGAAGTTGTAAAGTAGTTTTAATTTGTGTTTCCTTGATTTTTAAGGATGTTGGATACTAAGAATGAAACAAAACAAACCTATCATCCATTTGTATTTCATCTTTTGAGAACCCTCTCTTCAATTCCACACCCTAGTTTAAAATTTTTTTGATGTTTCATTTTTCTTGAGTTCTTTGTCTCACTGGGTACTAAAACACTGCCAGACATATAGTTAGTAAGAATGACTTTTCCATTTTGTAGGCTGCCTCTTCGTTCAACCAGTGTTATTGTTAGCTTTTTTAATTTTATGACATCACATTTAGCAATGGTTGCTTACCAAAGTCCTGTTCAGAAAGTTATTTTTTTGTGCCTATAAGTTCAAGCATACTCAATCTTTCTTCTCTGTCATATTCAGTATAAAAAGTCTTATATTGAGGTCCTCTATTCAGTGGAGTTGAGTTTTGTGTAGGGTGAGAATTAAGGATTTAGTTTCATTCTTTTACACACAGCTATCCAGTTTGAACAGTACTATTTGTCAAAGATGCTCTCTTTTCTACAATATTTATTACTAGCCTCTGAAAAATCAGGCATCTGTAGTAGTATGGGCTTAGGAATGGGTGCTCAATCTTATTCCATTGATTAATGTGTTGTTTTTATGCCAGTACTGTGTTGTTTTCATTTCTACAGCTCTGTAGTATAACTGAGATGGTATTAGCTCCAGCACTTTTTTTTTTTTTTAATTCTCAAGACTTTTTTGTTGAGAATTTTGTGTTTATATATTAATTATTTTTAAAATTTCTGTGAAGAATTGTGTTGGAATTTTGATCGGGATTGTGTTGAATCTATAGATTGTTTAGATTTGTTTTTGGTAGGATGGCCATTTCCACACTACTACTCTTACCTGTCTGTGACACTTTCCATCTTATGGTATTTTCAGTATCTCCCACAACCAGTATCTTTGTTTCCACTGTACAATATTTTCCTTCCTTGGCTACCATTCTTATTTTGAGGCTACCATGAACAAGATTATTTCCTGATTTCACCCCCCCCTTTTGGTTTTGTTCATGATTTTAAGTTAAGGAGCAACTGTGAAATATCTAGTCACATACTGAGTGTACAAAAGTGTTCTGCACAGAAAGTATTGTATTTGTATTGCCTTAATTTGTAAGACCATTTCATTAAGGTTATATATGAAAAATAATACTTTTTTTCCACTTGTATAATACATGTCCAGCCTTAAAGGTATTCAAAAAAAAGGGATGGAATTATTTCTGTAGTTGATTAATAATTATTATTCTATAGGTACAGTTTAATCTAATTTTAAGAAACATTATAATTTTGTATTAATTTATATTTATTGCATTTAAAATGTTTGATTCTATTTTATAATTATTTTTATAATATATTGTCTTCGAATAATATGGCTCATATTTGCCTACAGAAACAAAGAAAATTTGAGCATTAATTTATCCATGTGAGCAAATGATTAAATATGTGTTTTTAAGTTAGGCATTCTCAGCCATATAACTACCCATACATTTGCCTTCATAAACCTCTAGCTTCAGAGAATAAGCATATAGGAAGCATAATTAAATATTAGAAAAATAAATTTTACCCATGTATTTTGTTTGGTGTTCCTAATTTAATATAATAATGTAGCACAGCCTTAAGCAGAACACCCTCTTTCCAAGACTGAGCAGTTAGAACTGATTAGATGTTATGAACACAGATTAAACTCCTTTCAGTGATCTTATGAAACAGTCACACCATAATAAAAAGATGTCAATGCAAACAAAAATAATGGTAAGAAACAATGTGTGGATTAATCTGCTTTTTAAATGCACTATTTTTGAATTTCCACTGGAACACATGTTGTTAAATTAGCTTACCTCACACTATCACATGCTTTAGTAGAGCATATCTTGAGCTTCATATTACCTGGAGTCCATTCATCCAGGATGATGTTTTTCTCTATAATGAAGAGGTGTGTTTGATGTTTGTTTTGACATCTTTCCAAATTTGGGTAGTTCCTTAACTTGACGACCTATTTAGACAAAGAGCAGCAGCATTCATTTTATGACCTGTGTGTTGGTTGGGTTGTTGTACTCCTCACTCTTGAGGGTCTGGATTCTATTTAACATGACAGTAGCACTTAAAATAGGAGCAGAGTACCTTGTGTTTATATGGACTGTAGTTTGTCTTCATCAGATCTGAAGATAATTGCCTTGTAGTGAATAGTGTTGTTGAGAGGCTTTATGGAAGTTATCCAATCTGAACCTTGAAGACTTGATGAGGCTGTGCAGAGAGCAGGAGAATTGTATTAGATAAGAGCAGAGGCTAACAGGGACATAGAGAAAGCAAAGGGAGTTGTTAGCCATGCACATTCCAAGATTCTTACAAAATGAGGCAGATAATCCAGAGTGATATTAAGGTAGGAAGGATACAGGAAGTGATAATGAAAGTTGTACAGTGAAGGTCGCCATGAAAGGGATTTAAATTCTTGAGCTTTATCTGATGTCAATGGAAAGGATACAAGCAAGTCTATACTTTTGAATGTGATGTGTCTGTTCTGTTTAGAAGATAAGAGATAACAGGAAGTAAATAGTAAGACTACTGAGAACTGGAAAGGAATTGAACATCTATGGTAAAAGGAACATAAAATGCCATGAATTTGAGAAAGACTGCATGAGGAAGGAATCTGAGGGAGGAATGGTGGAATGATATACAGTATTCATGTGTGAAATCCTCAAAAAATGAATGAAAAAGGAAAATGTTTAAATGTCTGTGGTTGACAGTAGAGGGAAGATGAGTAAAAGTTGGTGTTGGTAGAATAAAAGGAAAGAGGTGACTTGAGATGATGAATAATGTGGATTTGTCAAGTTTTTTTTCTTGCCCTAAGTCCAGCAACAGAATGGAACACGGCCTACTGTAGAACTAACTTGGATTCAGTCTAATGGAAACTTAAAATATTCTCAAACCTGATACAACATGCAGTTCCTTACCATTGCTGTTGCCTGGTGACTGAGAGCTTGCAGTGAGAAAATGCACAGCAGTTTATTATGGTCTGTGGATGACTTTTCAAAATTACATATAGCCCAGGTGTATGGGAATATGCAGTGGTACAGGTTCCATCCCTGCCTCCTGGGCTCTGTAGGTGCCTTCCTTTCAGAAGGGTCTGAATTTCCTATTTAGGAAACGTGGGGACCACTGCAAACGACTTCCCTGGCTCAGGGAACACCTCCGGCCAGTGGGTGGCAGTGTTGCACAGTCCAAGGTGCACAGACGCCTCCTTAATCCCAAAGTTCCCAGCCTCAGGCAAACAAATCATCTTCAGAAATACTCGGTGTTTCCTTTGAAATACAGGTCTCCATATATAGCAGTTGCAGATTCTGATTCAGTTAGTCTGGGATGTGGGCCAGACATAAGGGTGTGTTTTAGCATTCAGGGTAATCTTGAGAGTTGCGTAACTGTGGAATTAAACCTTTCTGAGCGTTAGTTTTCATAGCATTGCTATGAACATTACATGAGAAAACACACCTGAGTCTAAAACAACTTTTCCCTTTCAAAGGGGCCATCATTTCTCAACAAATTGAAACTTGAATGAAAGAGCTCATACAGCAGAAGGAAAACTGGTGAATTTTGTCCAACATGATGAAGAAAATATAGTATTAATTGGATAATAGCATCATATATTAAACAGATGGTAAAAAGTACAAGCCCCTTGCTTCAGGTTTTGAAATTTCCATTATTTATTTAAGATCATAATCTAAATAAATATTTCCTTCTTCCCTCCCTCAAAACCCTACAATATAGTTTTCTTGTTCTATCTCAAATTAATGACCTCTTTTTTCATTAATTGTTGTTAAACACATAAATGTGTGTATATATGTGCTCCTAAATTTCTGTCAAAACAGCATTCTCAGTCTGTATAATGCTTCTTGTATGTATGCGTTCAGGGCTGACCATTTGGTTTTGGATAAACAATCGCTGTGCACTTCCCTGGGTAAGTATTTCTCCTAGTCTTAGCGTTCTTTAGTTGTAGTTATTTCTGTATGGTTAAGGCTAGTGGGCTTTCCTTCATCCACTTCAGCATGTATATTATTTTAATTCAAAAATTTTAAATCAGAGTAAAATATGCCAGCATCAAAATAGCAATAAAATAGAAGACATTTCTCTCTGTATTTTAATATGAAACCCACATTTATTATTGACATGGTAATAATTTAATTTACAAATGTGTTGTGACTTCTTAGTTTTAAGGAAAATAGCTTAGGTTAAATATATAATTCTCTTTTTCAACTTCACACCAAATACAATTAAATAAACAAATAACAAAATTCTTCATGTCAGTAATAGCATCTGTTATTTTCAATACATAGTTTTGGACTGAGCATCCCCAGAAAGGAGATCGCAAGAGTTCAATCTACACAACAGCACGTAGCATATGTGTCTGCTGCCTTGATGCCTATAGCATATTGTAATCAGGCTCATACAAGTTATTCACAGTTTCTGCATTGCCAAAGTCAGCTGATCTTCCCAGTTCTGAGAGGTGTTCTAAGAGAGTCCCACTGTATTTCATGGCAGTGCCACAGTAGCTCCTTCCATTTGTCTCTCCTTGTTCTTCTTGCTGATGCTTCCTCAAGTCTCTGCCTCTGGAAACCTTCCGTGTTACTCCGTTCTGAGTCATCTGTCCCTCCACTGGGCCTCCGGAGCCACCAAAGCAGGCCGGTCTCTCTGGCATATTCCTTCTGTCCTTGCTATCATTTTTTTAATTCCTGTCAGCCAGGACCCAGTCACTTTAAGCTATTAGCCTGAAGGTCATTTAGAAGATTTAAGTAAATATTTGATTTCAGGAACCTGGGATAAGAATCCTTTTCCATAAGTGTGTAGATGACTTTTTGTGCTTCATCAAAGGATGTGGGAGTGGGTGCTTTAATTTTCTTGGCTGTAGATTCTCGAGTATGAAAGTCAATATTGATCTGAAAATAATTAGTTCTTGATTAATATACACGTGTTGTTTATGATAAATTTATTATGCTACTAGTGTTTCAAAATCACCTTAAAATGATTTTATGCCAGGTCAAATATGTCTTGAATTTCTATTGTAAGCCATCTTTTACTAGGGGTGTGGGCTACAAAGAAAAGCAACAAAAAGAGATATTTTTTTCTGCATGTATTTGTGGTGTAATTGGGAGAAAGAAAAATATACATGAAAAAAAAATATTCCCAGAAGTGTTAATATATCACAGAGGAATGCCATAAACATTTTAGGTTCACTGAATGGGAATATTTTCCTGGAAAATCAACACCGCACATGTTTTCGCTGCTTTAATTGTACGTGCTATAGTAGTCTGTATTTTATCCTTGTCTGAATTACAATAGCTCACTAAGGTTCCTCAGCACACAGAATGTGGCCTGAGATATCACATTCCATTCCCCAACCCATCAGGTTGGACAGTTTCGCAAAATCTTATTAGTCTCTGTACTGATATCTTCACAAATACAAGGAGTGCTTCCACTGCACTGAATGTACAGATGTACATATCTACATATAAGTAATATATAAAACCACAATACAATGGATTCCATCCTAACCTGTGCACTGGATGCTATTTCTATATGTGCACTGATGCTAATGACGATGGCTTTAATACTCACTTGTTTCACAGCATCTGAATGCACAAATGTTTTGTATATATTCTCTGCTTTTCTATGCAAAAGGTGAGACTCTGTTTTCTTATAGTCTTCACAAGCCAACCAAAATTCAATGTTCTCATCACTGAACTCAGACTTTAGAAAATTTCCAAAGACGTTTTGACCAGCTAAAAGGAGAGGAATTGAAAAAGTTAATTGAGTCAGTAAGAACATGTTGTAGAAGAGATTTATAAGCAGTTATACTATTCCTATATGCATAAAGCTATGCGATGGCTTCTGCTAACACAGCGGTACCATCATTTGTAGAGAGGCAGCCTCAGAGACTGTAATATGTGGAAGAGGAATCTGGCACCGGACAAACTTGTCCACAGTCACGTATTACTTTGTGTGTTCACATAAATGCGTGTTACTTCCTCCTGTATTTAGAGTGAAATTAGGCTTTGCTGATTATAGAACAAATTACTTATAGGCACCACATCTAAACATGAGTGTAGAGTCATTTTTGTAAGGGAATGTTAATGATTGGGGGTATTAACGTCATGTTGATAATTAAAAATATAATGTCCTTATTCAAACCATGGTAGTCAGATAATGTTAGGTCAGCTTGTCACCTGTATGCCTGATAAACTGATTACATGGCTGAGACTTATATGCCGTTTACTAAGCTAAATTGTAGACTAAGTATTATGAACATATGACAGACTATGCTAACTTTCTTAGACCCACGCCTCCTGCCCCCTAAGTTTCATAGTGTCTTTCTTGGAGAAGAGGGTAAATTCACTTTTGAGACCAAGCTGATTGTCTGCACTTCTGAGTCAGGCTCTAACACCAACAGCGTGGCAATCCCGTGATGGGGGAGGGAAACTGGTTTCACTCTTTTCTTTCTTCCTCCAGAAACTCCCCACAAGCTTCTACTGTGCTTACCTAGATTAAACTATGTATCATGCTGCATTGTAAACACCTTCAGTGTTTACTTGGTGTGTCCCAACCTTCTTTAAGGCAGTAATAGATTGTGTCTTTTCATTTGAATCCTTGGTGCCTTTAAAAATACCTTCCACATAAGGTAGACGCGTGAAGGGTAATAGGCATGTGGATGATAGAATGCTAATTAAGTAAATGAATGCTACTCTTTAATCCAACAGTGTAAAGTATCCTTCATGTATAATGTACATTTCAAAAATAGGAATTCATATGATATGATATTTGCTTGGCTTTTAAAACTCTGAGACCGCAGCACAATTTTATTTATATTCATTTTTATTTTTGAAGCTTATTTCCTTTATGTGCCTATGTGTGTCCCCTCCTTTCCCCTCTCCATACAGGAGCACCTGTGGGCAGGTGCTCACAGAGGCCAGAAGAGGGCATCAGGGTTACAGGTGGAAGGCTGTGAAACCAGTCCTGCGAGTGCAGAGAAATGAGCAGCAAGCACTGTTAACCAACGGACCATCAATCCGGCAACCCAGCATAATTTTAGTTTTGTTCTTGAAGCTAAGAAAACATGTAGTTTTCTTGGCAGATTTATCTAAAGGATGGTGATATAAATCGAGTGCTATAATACACAGTCACAGTGTGATGAAATTATCAGTGACCGTAGAAAAACTAAAATAATACTTTTTGCATACTCTCTTTTCTTCCTTTGATAATATAAATTAATCTCAATCTATTAAGTTATCAAGCTGACCCCCAAACAATGGCTAGTTAGAGATACTTACTCTGGTTAGCAAGAAGTTTTTCCAGAGATTGAGACCACTGTATTACTTCCTCAGCAGAAAGTCTGCAGTTAAGAAAAATGACAAAAATTAATAAACTAGTTCACGAAATCCCAAGTTAAATAATAATGGCTGCTACATTTTGGTAACTAAGATTCTTTCTTATGACTTCTATTATTCATTTTATGTACAAAATTCCTTTTAATTGCCATAGATATGAAAAAATCTGTCAAGAGAGCTAAAATATAAGTATATAAAATTGAGTAATATAAAAATGAACAGAAAATCGATGTGGGTATATTTATAATTAATAGCCATTGGCTCTGATGTGGCCTACTATTGTTTGTCATGTTACCTAAAAGAAATGAAGTCCATTGCTTGCAGTATTTTTTGTATGCTTTTATAAAGAACAAGGCTCCACTCTAGTCCTCTGCCAACCCCCTTGCCTCATACTCCCCTGTGCTGAGATTTCATGAGTAAGCTGCCATGCCAAGATACATACAGTATCAGTATCTTGCAAAGATGACAGCCAACTTCTGTGCCACATATACAGTTATAATATTTAAATATATTCAGTACATACATGTCTTTGGACTTGGATGATTTCATTCCAGACTCCAGATGTGGGATCATTGATCTCAGGTATGCTTTCACATCCATTCCACTACAAAAGACAACAAAAGTTATAGTTCTCTAGAAGAATTTACTTATGAAAAGAAAAGAATACAAAGCAAAAATACCTGAGGAAAAAGGTAATAATAAAAATCGCTGACACAATATTTTGTTATTTTAAAATAGAGCTCATTTTTATGAGTTGAGCTTTAGAAAGACTCCCATCCACTTCCCTGTAATATGATTCATTATCTAATAAAACTGAATCTCATAAGTCACAACAGTTAATTGTGCTGCTCTACATAAGCTAAATCCCAGCATTCACTTCTCATTCACACTCCCTTGCCCATAAAAGATATTCTAAGAGAGACAGTGAAGGAACTTACAAAGTCTTTGGCTTCTTTTTTTGCGTTTTGTCGTCTAGAAGTGAATGGCTAGGTCCTTTCAAATTCTTTGGGCTAGCAGAGAAGAACATTTCTGGCATTTTGTCCAGCTTTGGCATGGAGATGGCTGCAGCTCTCATGGTCTTCTTGCAATGTGTGTCTGTTAGTCTGCATCTGCTGCTTTATATAGCGTAGGCAGACAGGCACTTGCTGTTCGGGGAGTCTGTTTATCAAGTGATGTTACCACAGACACTGAAGTTCCTCCTTTCTTGGTGTATTGTGACGTGTATCTTGAAGAAAAAAAAAGTACACAGTGATGTCTTGTGGTTGAACCTAACCGAATGAGAGCAGGTCATTTGATTAGGAAGGCACAAAAAAAATTCACACACACAGAGGAGAGCACACACCACGTGTCTGGAGCATCAGCCTTTGGTTTGAGGGGATGCTTGTTTCTTCCTGAAAACTGTATGTTCTGATCAGTGTTACATCTTCTATGTTTTCTGTATCGTGTGGCAATCCAACGTTAGGGTTGAACCCTCTCCATTCTCTGGGTAGTTCTTGACCATAAAATCATCTGATCACAGTATCCGTTTCCTTCTTTAAACACTGAAAATATGTTTCCTCTTCATACAGCACATTCTGATTATGGTTTTCTCCTCCCCAGTTCTTTCAGGTATTCTTCACAATGTTTTAAGAGTTCTCCACCACTGCCACCCCGCAGAAAACAGCATAAGGTCAACACATTTTCTCTAAATGTTCTGCATCAGTCTGGTAAGAAGGAGACCAGAAGGAGGCTGTCTTACCCTGTGCTGTCTGGATTCACATCCATCATTTTCACCACAGGAAAATAGTAAATTCTTGTTAATAAATAAATAGTAAATTCTTGTTTCCAAGGTGTGTACAAAATCTTCTACAAGTGACACATAAGATGACCTTAAGGAGCACTCCATTTTTAATGTTATTTTAATAATTAGAAGATAAATAATGTGTCAACTTGTAATTGTGTGTCAAGAAGTTAAGAAGAAGGCATAGTAAAATTCAAGCAAGTCTACCAATAAAAGTGTAATTCACACACAGACCTTACATAATAGTAAAGATACTGATTTTTAAAAACACAGCATCTGAGGAAAAACTCGAGGTAAACAGAGTTTGTTTGGATAAATCCATCATTTGTGCTAGTTAGGAGACAATAATTGAATTTTTGGCAATGTCTCCGCTGAGGCGAAGTCTAGCTTTAATTGAGATGATTACATTACAGCAATCATTACTCACTGATAAATCACTTATTGGAGCAGAAGCATTATATAGTAAGAGATTACAGAGTTTAAATGGGATGTATGTTACAGCATGGCATAGGATGCTCAATTTAACTTTGTTGGAATTGAATTTTGCCTTTGAATAGATGATAGTCTTTGTTAGACAGGTTTCTGGTAGAATTGGATAAATTTCACTTAAAAGGGAGTGGAATATTAAGTTTTTGTCCTTTTTTTAAAAAAAAACCATAATGATACATAATGCCTGCAATAAATATTTATAATATTACACAATTCACTATGGTTATGAATGATTATTTCTTGCACTGGCATCATCTGATGTTTGAAGGATAACATGACTCATTAAAGAAAGAGAAGTACTGCAATGAGCTGGCCACTTTGAAAATGACCCAAACAGAACCAATAGGGCTGTGACAGATGACGGAAAAATATGTGTGTTTGTTTACTTTCTGTGGTCCAGCTCAGACTTATTTCCCTGTTAAAATCTTCACCATTTCTCATGGTGAAATATATATATATTTGGAACCTCTTACTTCTGTAGCTAACTGGGCAAATTATGCTTGAGAAACATCATTTAAAGATTATCTCAATGAATCATGATTACTTGTTATCTAAATATACTGGCAATTTCCAAAGAATGGTTGTGCAAGAACTGTTCCTTTGAATATTATGAGCATTAGAAGAAACAAAAGCAGCAGCGAAGGTTATGGCACCAGATATGTGCGGGATATGTAGATTTTTAGCATTTTGAAGAACCATACCTTTTTTTAGATTAAAAAAAAATGTGGTTTTCTTTGGTTAATTTTACTAAAATAATATTAAAGTGTGGATCCCATTATGTAATTATCACACACTGTTTCCACTGCTGCTTCTTCTTCCTTCGTTTCATCCCATGCTTTCTCTCACATGTCCCTTTCCTCTCCCATTAGCTTTGCTTGTCTGCTTTTACCTCAAGTGCATTCTATTGCTTTTTCTCCCTCCACATTGAGATCTCATTTAGACTTTTTTTTCCTAGCTTCCTGACCCTGCCTCTTCTCCACCCCAAACACATACTTAGCTGGTGAGAGAAAACATTCATTCTTTCTCTTTTTGAATCTGTGCATTTTGCTTACCAATGATTTTCAATTCTGGCCATTTTCCTTTACATGTCCTGGTTTTACTTTTCTTTATGGATGACTAAAGTTCCACATAGGCTATGTTCTGAGAAAAAGTATTTACGTATTAAGGAACTGCTTTAATAATTCCAACATATTGTTACCACAGTAGAATTATTTAAGCTCAATCACTAGCAAGTAATAATAATGGCTTTCTGAAATTCCCAAGTCAAAACTGGCAATTGAAGCCACTCTTTTAATGGACTCTTGCCAGCTCATACAAAGTCTATATATGTCAAAGCCAGGTAGACTTGGCCTCAGAAATGACTGAGGAAAGCAGATAGGGTCCTGGAGGTTCTATGTCAAGCTCATATACTGCCACTGTCAAGCATTTATTTATAAAAATTCATCACCCCCACCCCCCCCCAAAAAAAACACCAGCTAACTTCACTGAATCAATCAGTGTGTTTGAGATAGAGATTTCAGTAGAAGGTAAGAGCCATAGCTCTCAGAAACTATCTCATGTTAACCTTTTCTCTATGAAATTGTCCTTAAATATCCAAGTTTGAGTCACAAGAAAAGTAATACTTAATGTATTCTTAGTGTTTTCTGTTAGCAATGGTCTTATTTTTTAGAGCAGTGTTAGACTCACAGTAAAACTGCATAGAGGGGGGAAAGAGTTCCCACTTCTACCCTGTCCCAAACTCTACCACCATCCCCACTCAGCATTAGTGCCGTATTTGTGGTATTTGCTACAACCAATAGACCTGCACTGGTATCTCATTGTCATCCAAAGTAGATAGTTGACACTACTGCTCACTGTGGGCGCCATGTATAGTGTGGGCTTTACATGTGTGGCCATGTGCATTTGCTCTCACGGCATACAGAGCAGATTCTTTTCTCCAAAATACTAGTTTATGTACATATCTATTTAGAGATAGGCTCTCATGTAGACGAGGTTGACTTTGAACTTACTGTGTATCTGGGTATGATTTTGAATTTCTGATATTCCTGCCTCTGGGGGCTCCTGGGGGCTGTGATTCCAGATTTATGCTACCACACTTAGTTTTAGACAGCGCTGGAGATCCAGTGAACAAGGGGCTTTGTGTGAGTAAGGCAAGCACTCAGCAAATACAAATGAGCTACATCCCCAGCATAGTGTCATAGTTTGAAGAATGGCTATATTCTTAATGAGAAAATTAGGGAAAAAAACGTAAGCTTTCCTGAACTGATTTGATAATTTGGCTCAAATAATTCCAACTAACTTTATAATAGTAATAATATGAACTTTGTTGAATGATATTTACAATCTTGATATTGAATAGCCTGGTGTTAAATATTTGTAATATTGCACAAATCTTGTAGGAATGGGACAAAGGACAATGTTGAGTGTGAAATCGCCTTAAAAATAAAGATGTACCTATACTAGAAGAGTTAGAGGCAGAAATTTTGGTCCTTTTAAACAAATTTAATTGCATTTTTACCGTAGAACACATGCAACGTACTACAAATAGAAAGCAGGATGAATCTCTGTCCCTGAGTGCTTAAAGTATGGATAGTAGGGCATACTGATATTTAAGCAAGTGATCATGGTGGGACTTGGCATCAGAAAGGATTGCACAGAAGGAACTCAGATGAGGTGATTGGCTTTGAAGGTGTGAGAAATGAAAGCACACATGGTCGCACTGTGGCTCACACACACGCTCACTCTTTGCCCCTTTTGCTGTGTTTAGCACCCATTGGAAAATACAGGAGATAGCACTAGAGAAAGAGTCTTCAGTTAGTAGGTACTTGTTACACAGTTCAGGATTGTGAAAGAATGGATCCTGTATATAAACATGGAACTTCGGGACTTTATTTTTTATTTTTTTTTTATTTTATTTTATTTTTCTTTTTAGTTACATTTTGTTAACTCTGTGTCCCAGCTGTATCCCGCTCCCTCATTCCCTCCCCAACCCCACACTCCCTCCCTGGTCTCCTCCCTGCCCCTTTCCAAGTCCCCTGATAGGGGAGGACCTCCTCCCCTTTCATCTGACCCTGTTTTATCAGGTATCTTCAGGGCTGGCTGCAAAGTCCTCCTCTGTGGCCTAACAGACTGCTCCTCCCCTGGGGGGGGGGGGTGTCAAACAGCCTGCCCTTGAGATCCTGTTAGAAATAGTCCGTGTTCCCCTTACTTTGGAAAACTACTTGGTTACTGAGCTACCACAGGCCACATCTGAGCAGAAGTTCTAGGTTATATCCATAGATGGTCCTTGGTTGAGTATCAGTCTCAGAAAAGACCCTGTGCCCAGATATATTTGGTCCTTGTAGAGCTCCTATCCTTTCCATATCATACTAACTTCCCTTCTTTCATATGATTCCCTGCACTCTGCCGAGGGTTTGGTTATGAGTCTTAGTGTCTGCTTTGAAACACTGCTAGGTAGAGTCTTTCAGATGCCTTTTGTGGTAGACTCCTGTCATAAGTTCAATGCACATCCCATTTGTCTTTCTAAATGAGGATTAATCACCTTCGCCTGTGTCCACTTTCTTGATTATCTTCTTTAGATGTGTAGATTTCATTATGTTTATCATGTCTTGTAGGTCTATATAAGCGAGTATATACCAAGTTTGTCTTTCTCCTTCTGGGATACTTCACTCAGAATGATCTTTTCTAGATCCCACCACTTGCCTGCAAATTTCATGATTTCTTCCTTTTTGATTGTGAGTAGTATTCCATTGTGTAAAAATACCACAATTTCTGTATCCATTCCTCCGTTGATGGACATCTGGGTT